GAGTATTAAAGTATCAAATGATTTGATCCAGAAACAGATTAGAGTACAAGAAAAGTTTCTTCTTTAGTTTCWTCCCTTTAGTTCAATTTGATTTGTTTCTTTTATTTGATCAAATCAAAACCTAATTTAAAYAACACGTTTTTCCAGATACAAAAATTATGTCTATTTGCCATTTGAGAGGAATAAACAACAACATTGTAAGGACAAATAAGAACAAAACTCATTTTATCAGCTTTTATAAAACCCAACATATTCTCAAACTTTTAGGAAATCAACTAATTTAATCTGTATAAATATCTGTATTTTGTRAAACAATAATTCCTTTATGGCTCTAGGAAGATAAACCCAAATGTTTTATGTAGAACATAAGTTTGGGTCGACTTTTAGCACTTACTGTATGTTAAGTGGATGCTCTTATTTTCTGCTTCAACAGAACCTGGATTTTTTMAGTTTGACTAAAACATCCAGCTGCGAGCGGTGTCCACCAGAGGCCGCCAGGCTTGATTTTTGTGGTCGAAGCTAATTTAACAACCACTTCCTGTTAGCTGAAGCTACTAGGAACTCAGAAGTGAAAGAAATAATTTAAATTCTTCAGATTGTGTGAGTTTAAAGACTCCTCTCTGAATGTTCAAACACTGTTTGATTTAAAACTGTTGTGATGTTTGTTTTCCTTTGAACGTTATAAAACAATCTACTAAAAACATTTGTATTATGTCTGGTTTTTGTGTTTAYCACAAGACGTTCAGTCCGAGGCCAGCCGACATTTTAATTTACTTATTTCTGTAGATTATAAATTCTAATCTGGACGAGGCACAGACTGATTCCTATTAAAGGTTTTATTGGAGCTCAGACCTGATCTGACTTSTGTGAAAAATTCCTTGGTCTTCYTGTCTCTTGCTTGATGGCAGCAATTTACAGTAAAAAAAAAAATCAATATAATTCAATATAATGTGTCYAACTGAAGGCATGRGGGCCAAATGTMGCCCGTGGGTGACTTCCGTTACCCCCAACTTTTTAATTGCTTATTTTAATGTTAGGCTAAATTGAAATGTTAAGATGCAATGCAACAAAAAAGACATTTGTCCTCCCTGAGCTGTTTGTTTTGAGTACCTGTGTCCCCATGAGCGATTTAGTTGAATAAKTCAAATTAAGCTGATTAAAGCCAGCATTGATCATAAACTACATCTCCCATAATGCATGTTGATTATTTAACTCATAAAATGATGGCATCACACCACCAGGTGGAGCTGAACAGGTTTCAAAAACAGCCGACAGCTGAGAAAGTTGCATTTTATTATTTTTTATTTGGAGATCTTTCCAGCTTGAGCTTGTTTGTTTGTTTGTTGACATTGTTTTCTGAAAATATGGGGCACATATGATAAGCTTTTTTCTTCACTCTTTTAATTCAGGGTATGATTTAGTTTTTTTTAATGCTGTAAATAGATTTTTTTATGTGTAGAGAAAACCCTCATTAAAATGATGAAAATGATTTTAATTAAGAATATCCCTCCCAGTTCGAGATGGTATCTGTTAAACAAAACAACTCAACCACAATACTCACAGCAAACACTGTCGTTCCTTTTATTTTGGCCGGTTAAAAACTAATTGACTTTTATTAAAGAGAGTAATATTGAGTGATTAACAAGTGGTTACAATGGTTTGAACAATAAATGAGCTCTCAATATAACACACTTCTACCTTTAAGCAGTTTAATTAAAAAAGCAGTTTGTCTAATAATTTCAAAATAAATTTCAAAACTAACAAATCTTTTTTGTTGTGAACACTCACAACAAAGAAAAATATCAGAGCAAAATAAATAAAACTAAGTTCAATCCCATTGTTAGTTTAAATA